TGTCATATGGAAACCTATTACTAAAAAACTACTAGTGTAGAAACTCCCTTTAAAAACACACACACACATGAAAATTTAAATAGTTTCTGTGGAACAATACCTCCTCTGGATGTCATAGGCTATCAAATAAAAGGCTCAGAACCAGGAGTGGGTTACCTCCTTTCAAGTTGTTGGCCAGTGGGTGTTTCATAAACACCTTTACCCAAACATTATAGGCCATTACCATCGGTTACCCTCCAGAATTTCATGTTAAGACCCTGTTGCTGAAGATACCACACACTTATAGAGAAATTAAACTGATACTAACCTGGAAGGTTTATTCTAACTGGCTTGCTTTCCTAGTGCTAGAAGTTTCTATGCAAGCTAATGGAGTAGAAAAGCAGTCAACAGTCTTACCTAGCTATTAACACTGAGAGGACAGTAACAACTATCCTGACAAGATATGCCCACTGGTGCAATAGTGACATAAATTTTATCTGAATTATGTTATATTTCTTATTGGATTTAAAATTCGTTTTACAGGATGGAACTCATACTGTTACAATTAACTGAAACAAAAATTCACGGGTAGCTAGATCAGAGGCCCTAAGGAAGAGTCTAACAGTATTATACTAAGTGGACTTAGAAGTAACAGCCCCACCCCTCAGGTTAGCACATCTCTCAAACCTCATCAGACTCTTTTGGCAATAGATGGCTGGCAATTGACGACCAACAATGGACAATGCGCAGAGAATAAGAGACTGCTGGGTGCTTGGATCTAGACCATCCATCTATATTGTCCTTCTCCCTGACAAGATTCAGAGATTTTACAGGGGAAGAACGGGCAGAAAGATTGTAGTTGCCAATGGTAGTGGACATCTACAGTGAAACAGTATTTGGCAGATATCACAGCACCACTGCACACATGAACTCACAGTGGCTGTGACTGCATGCACAAGATCAAGCCAGCCAAAATTCCACAGTAATATTCCAGTGAGTAAGGCAAAGTGAATATGACATAAAGTCTCACACCTAGAGGAGGAACTCTTGCCAACAGATGGCTTTGGGGAGGAGTCATTTTTCTTCAGGAACGTGGCCAATGAGAGGTTACCCATGCTCCAGTGATGATCCCACACAGAGACAGCACTAAGTCGACTAACTCAGGGTTTGCCATATCTAGCTTACTGTAAATATGAACTTGACACGTTAGAGTTCTTTAGGAAGATTCACTCTGAACTGGGAAAATGCTTCCATAAGATTTGCCTATAGGAAATGTGTAGAGAAGATTTTAAACTAGCAAATTTGCCTGTAGGAAAGTCTGAAGTACCCAGACCATTGTGGGTAGTAGAAGTCCCCAACAGGTGGTCCTGGGTGTAGAAATGAGAAAGCAGCCCGAGCATGCCGGTGTGCAGCAGGCCAGAAAGCAGCATTCCTTCATGGTCTCTGCATTAGCTCCTGCCTCCAGGTTCTTGCCCGATTTAAGTTCCTGCCCTGAATTTCTTCTACTGTATTATTACTTGGAAGTGTAAGATGAAATAAACCCTTTCCTAGAGTAAAACAGGGTTTAAAGCAAAGAGCACATGAAGTCAAGAGGGGAAAAACAGTGGGGGAATAGTTAAAGAAATGGGAGAAATCTAATAATAACACATTATATGCAACTATGAAATACTCAAACAATAAAAAGCAAAATTTAACTTTTATTTTAAAATACAAAACATTCTGCTGCTCTGAAGACACCAGTCTCAAGGCCTCCATGAGGTCTGCTGCAGCCAGGGCAACTGGTAAGGGACCTTCCCTAACAGTCACACCCACTGGGAGTCTCCAGGAGGACAATGGTCTCAGGACCCATCAACTCCCAAACCATCCACTTCCTGAATTCCACTTCCCTTCCAGAGGGCATCTTCTGCTGGGGCAGAACACCAGGCTGTCTACTCTGAAGACACCACAGTCTCAAGGCCTCTAGGAGGTCCTCTGTAGGCAGGACAACTGGACAACAGACCCCCCAATCTGAAGGCCTCCCAGGAGAACAGCTATAAGCAGGTCAACAGTCTGACTACTCCTGTGAAGCCAAAACAGTCTGAAAGGCCTCCCAGGAGATCTGCTGTAGCCAGGACAACAGATCAGCAGCTCCTCTGCCCCTCTGAAGACACCACAGTTGGAAGGCCCCGCAGGACTTCTGCTACAACCAGGGCCACAAGCCTACCAGGAGACTGGCAGCAAACCAGGGACACAAGAGGCAGGCACCAGTCAGAGACAACCAGACCAGCTAACACCAGGGATAACCAGATGGTGAGAGGCAAGTGCAAGACCATAAGCAACAGAAGTCAATACAGTTGGGTATCATCAGAACCCAGTTCTCCCACCACAGCAAGCTCTGAACAAACCAACACACCTGAAAATCAGGAAGCTGGCCTAAAATCCTATCTCATGAAGATAATATAGTCCTTTAAAGAGGATATAAATAACTCACTGAAAGAAATATAGGAAAACATGGGTAAACAGGTAGAAGCCCTTAAAGAGGAAACAAGTCACTTAAAGAAATATAGGAAAACACAAACAGGTGAAGGAATTGAATAAAGTTGTCCAAGACCTAAAAGTGGAAGTAGAAATAATAAAGAAAACACAAACGGAGGCAACCCTGGAAATGGAAAACCTAGGAACAAGATATTGCCACATTTCCTATACATTGCCTCTAACAATATGTACAATAGACACAAATAATAAGTTGCCAATTACCAAAGAAATAAGCATAGCAATAAACACGTTATTATATGACCTGAGTCCAAGACCTGAGTACTTTTGATAGTGTCGGGTTACAGGTTTGAGTCCCTGAAGGTGGGGTCAGACTTCGACTTCCAGATAGTTGAATTGCTAATTTGACCTCACAGGGTGCTTGACCAGGAAGCTGGGGGGGGGGGTGTCTCTTGGCTTGAAGCTAAGTTGGAGGTGTAGGTCTCTCGATTAACTCTTTGATGACCCGGTGCTGATGACCCGGTGCTGAGGAGGCTTTGTTCAGAGGATCACGTGTGAATGAAGTGCTCTGATCAGGCTCCTCTTTTATGCTGAATTTGGAGTTACTGATGACGTACATGGCAGATAACCACTCGTGTCTGGTTATCTCAGCACAGCTTCATTTCCAGACTTGCCTTTACAAGTACCAGACATGTCTTTATAAGTATCAGACTAGTCTCTACAAGTTTCCTATTACAAAATGGAGTTGATCCTGCTTAAGGGCCTGCTCCTTACATCCCACAATATTCTATACATTTCTTTAAAAACAGAATATTTAAGTAATAAGGTATGAGAATTTAACATTTCTTTAACATTCAACCTGGAAGTCTGTGTCCTTTATAATCATCACTAGGACTGTTGTTGTGCCTAAATCCCTGGAAAGAAGCAACTTAAGAGAAGTGTCCATTGTGGCTTATTCCCAGGAATGTAGTTTATCATGGTGGCAGCAAGAGTGTGAAGCAGGCTGGTTACACTGCTCTGCCAATCAGGAGAAAGAGTGACAGGAATTCATGCCAACATGAAACCAACCAACCCCCCCCCCCCCCAGTGACTCACTGTCTTTAGGAGATGAAGCTCCTAAAGACTCTACCTCTTCTAAAGCAAGGCTACCAACTATGGACTGAGTGTCTAAACATGGGCGCCACGAGGAACGCCTCAGATCCAGGCAACAACCACCCACTACCAAGAACATTGTATATGCTGGGCAAATCCTATGTGTATGCACCAAAAACCTAAGAAGCACTCAGGGTTAAAAGCTTAGCTTGTCTCTTAATTGCTATCTGAGGACAGCTGTTCAAGCCAACAATGGTTCTGTTATTTTATAAGAGAAAAGTTTTGGAGAAAATTTAAAGAGTAAAATTTATTTTATGAACTAAATTTATTCAAATACTACTTACTGTAAGACAAAAAGTTATTTTCAAAATATTAATGTTTCTTTATGAGTTTGTAGGGAAAATGTCAACTTTTTAAAAAATGTATTGTATATGGGTGTTTTGCATACACATATGTATAAATACCATGTGAGTAGACCCTGTGGAAACCCGCTGGAACTGAAGCTACAGGTGGTTGTGAGCCACCATGTGAGTGCTGGGAAAGGAAGCCAGGGCCCCTGGAACAGCAGTCAGCACTCCTAACCTGAGCCAGCTCTCCAGTTCCAATTTACACGTCTTATCCAGCTATACTGCTTGCAATGTGTCAGAAACAAAATGTATTTAACTTATTTTGTCATAATCATTTTTTTGCAAGTACAATATCGAGGATAGGAGAACCTTTCACATATTAACAGATAATACTATTTCAAATGTTTCCGAGCTCAGTTCCCTGCTCTTTTCTAACAATAAAAAGAAATAAAATTAAGGGAAAGGTTAACTTTAATAATGAACTTTTATGTACGTATTTCATAGTATTATATAGTGATTGCATATAGAAACCACTGCCAAGAAAAATAATGGTACTCCTAAGCAAGCACAACATATTTTAATTAAAAAAAAAGACAGAAAATCACTGCTGTGGTTTTGTCTTTTACTGTCTATTGTAATGCTAACTGGAGCCCTCCCCCCAACCCCCAAGACCTAGAATCTGCACATAGCCCCCTGGGACCCTGTCCTCAAGGTAATTCTATTTGGAGAATGAAGATGTGGACTGCTAATAGCTGGGCAGAAGAGACATAGGTGGGGCTGAGGTTTATGGGCTTAGAGAGGACCACAAGGAGGGAGAGGACAAAGCCACCATGGAAGAGAGGAAGAACATGCAGGAGGGAGGACAGCTGCCATGGGCTAAGGACCAAGAGAATGTGGCCCAGAGGGCTGCCCAACTGGAGTTAGGAACAGCCCAGATGGAGCATAGTGAATAGTAAGTGAGAACTCGGGGTTATCAACAGGAAGGTAGATTCTAACAGCATGCAGGGTAGGCAGCTGCCCAGCTACTGTGCTGCCTAAGGCACATTAAAAGAGTAAAGAGTCTTTCATCCGAGAACATAAATGGTCTAAGAAAGAAAAGAAGCCCTGGGCCAGGAGTTTAAACATTTTACTACTTTAAATCACAAATACATACATGGATATATCACATTTTTAATGTAAATCAACACAGGATTATGATGTAAAACAATATGGTACAATAAACCATGTATCGTTTATTTCTGATGAAACATACAAACACTTTCCACTATGATACAAAATGCATTTGTTCGCCTACCCTAGAGATCATTGTCACCAAAATACATTATGCTGTTGTGGCAGAGAAGGGACACATCATACTTCATAGGATACACATAGAACGTGATAAAGTGCTTTTTGCTTTATAGAGGTAAGTAAAACAGAATAGCATTTCTTGCATTGCCATCTTACTTACCTGTTAAATTATTTATCATCTGTGCCAGACAGAGGTCAGACTCTGAGTTATACATTCCACAGCCACAGTGTTCTACCCCTGCATTCCCATCATACTTCACATCTCAGTCCTGAGCACAGTGGGGAAAGGGCGCTTGCTGCTAAGCCTGACCACCTAAGTTCAAATCCCAAAGCACACATGGAACAGGAGAATTAACTCCTCAAAGTTTCCTCTGATCTTCATATATACATAGACATATACAACAAGTAAATAAATGTAATTTTAAAAAACCTCATTCCTACTTAAAGTGATATATTTATGTGTTTCAGGTACAATTTATACAAATAGCCTAAAGGCAATCTATGTTTCTATGTGCCTGTGTTCTGTATGCTGTCACCTGAGGGAAGGCGTGGGATTGTAGCAGCATCATTTAGAAGAGTTGAAATTTTTGGAGCATTTTATATTTTGGCCTTTTAGATTAGGGAATATCGATTATAGTAGAAAAAGTTATAGAACTGACCTAAAGAACTCTACAAACAATGACACTTGGAAGGCAAGCTAGTTACAGCAGCCCATTCCTGTGCCCCAATCTAGTTATTTTCACTAGTCTAAGTATACCAAGGTTTTCTACTGCAGATCCAGATTTACTAAATATATATTTACTATCACCAGTGTAAATATACCCCCAACAGAAATATTAGATAAGTGTTGTTAGTCACTAAAAATGTCAACATTTACATCATGTAAATGATTATACTTTGGTTTACCCAGATAAAGTGGCTACACTTTTCATTAGGGAAATTCTACACTACACAACGCCACTACAAGATGCCTAACAAGAGGGAGGAAATACAATGTCCTGAATCAAAGTTAACAGGCACCATCTGGGGAATGTGAGCAATGCCGCATTCGGCTCTTCCACTCTCTACTGAAATGCTGATACTTATGATCTGAGTTTGCGTGAGACTGCACTTAGCTCTCTACACTGCAGTGCTTAGTACACAATCCAAAAAGTTCTGATGCACCCTACACTCCAGCATTAATTTACAAGGAAGTGTGTAATGACATATGCACTCAGAAACCTTGTCCTGCTAAGGAGCAACTTTCTTTGCAAGACTACTAAGTGGCTGAAGTTTCTGGATTATGTTTTTAATATTTAAAAAAACAGAAACTAGGATTATGATTTAGAGGTAGATTAGAAATTATTATTCATTGAAATTATAGGGAGGACAGATAAAGTCACACTGTAAGATCATAATGTTGAAAAAAACCATCTTGCCTACAAGTTTTCATCTTATTTGGCTCTAGTTGTTTCAAGTCAAAAGTCCCTCATGAGAATTATTGCCTTTCAACATTGTGCTTCTGGAAGAACGATTTTCCTAGTTCATACGAGCTGATCATAATGGCACAGGCAGGAACAATTTTAACTAACCGAGGAATGAGACCTGGAAAGAGAACAGGGAAAACAAGACAACACAAATTTAACCTTATTCTTTTTTAATGTAGCATTTGGCTTCATAGTGACCAAATTAAATGATCTGAAATACCAAATTCTATATCATCAACAGGCAGCAAAGATTAGGTCAAACTGTTTACGCCCAACTTTAAATTCAAATTTTATAACTCTACTACTGAACATTTAATTTAACTTACCACAATATTTAGGAGAAAATAATAAATATAAAATGTTACCTATCACTTTTTGTTAGAAGCTAATTGTAGGAGGAGATTTAAAACGAATGATTGTGTTCAGACTCTGTAAAGCAAGTATTTTTACCTGTAAACAACCCAGAAAATCCTTTGTCAGCAACAATGTTCTTCATAATAGTCCAGGTTGACATATCCAAAGGTTCAGGAACTATATTAAAAAGAATACCATCATAAAACACAACTTAATAATCTGTATCACAGATCCATTCTAGCTACTGTTCTACTGCTATGAAGAGACACCATGACCAAGGCAACTCGTGTTTAAAAAAGCACTTAATTGGGAGCGTGCTTACAGTTTTTGAGACTTAGTTCATGATCACGGTAGGAAGCAGACAGGCATGCTGCTGGAGTGGTAGTGCAAAGCTCCTTGATCCTCAGGCAATAGGCAGAGAGACACTGAGACTGGCCTTGGTTCTCTCAGAGCCCACCCTTATGACACACCTCCTCTAACAGGCCTTCCAAATGGTTCCATTCTATAGGGAGCATTCTCATTTAAACCCTCATAAGAGCATACATGAATAATATAGTTCATTATAAGAAGATAGCATCTGTTTATCTAGGAGTTATTTTCAACCTTTTTTGTTTTATTACGCTCAAATATGGATGGACTACATAGCCTAGCCTGACCTGCTCTCTAGCTGAAGTTAACCTCAAGCTCCTATATGTCCTAACCAGGCTTCCTGAGTGATAGGGTACTTAGTGAATAAATACAGTTTTGAACCAAATGACAAGAAAAATTATAACAACTTAGCTTTTCATGATAAAAGTAGATTTTTTTCTTTGTGGAAGAGACTTAGATGATAGCAGACAAGAAACAAGCTTTAAGATCTCTAAAGCTTTCTCAGTATTTTTCTAGGTATTCCATCCTAACAGTACATCTTTTATCAGTTTCATTAAGAAAGAATAATTAAGAAAAACAACAGTATTTTCTGATCATATGTATTCCTAATAAAAATCACACAAGGGGAAGAAACAATAACACCTCAAAATGTTTTAAATTAAACTTACATTTACAATATTCATTCGTCCACAGTTGCGTCTGTTTCTGTGTTTTTACTACATCAAATGGTAAAGTTGCAACACCTGCAAACTGTCAAAAAGTTCATTTAAATTTTTAATTTTTAAAAAGCATTTAAAAATCTTATTAGCACATTATTTAATATGGATAATGACAAAAATCACAAACTGAAATTTAAAATAAATAAGATACACTTTAAGTTTTTAATGCAGAAAACAGGTTACATCTCAAGTATTCATTCATTACAAAACTCTAAAGAACAGCTTCAGAAAAGTCCCTGCTTTCTTTCCCACGACCACATGGCCACCAATGGCAAAGACAGAACCAGACTTCTGTGGCTTTATACCAGTGCTCACTTCCTGATTCTCCTGTCACCAATACTACATACTGCCCGTGTGCGTGTGCGTGTGTGTGATGTAGCTCAGTCTCACCTTCAATTCAACTGTGTAGCCAAGGACTACTTGAAGTCCTGACACTCCAGCCCATGCTTACCAAGTGTTAGGGTTACAGGCATGAGCCATCACGCTCAGGTTTTTAACATCTTTAAAGTAGAAATTCTCCAGTATGTACTTAGCATATGAAAATTTCCAGCAAGCATTTTTCAAATAATTAGAAAATTTAAATTTAAAAGTTAATGAAAATATACTTCAAACTTTTAGCTTCTATGTACCTTTTAATGGATATATATATAGTTAACAATGGTTTAAAAAATCACATTTCTAAACTCTTCTCAAAGTGGTGCAATTTATCACCTTTTTCCATGCTGTCTTAAGTGAGATTGAAAAAGATTAATTCCTTTAGAAATGTTCTCTTAGTATCTGATATAATATCCAAATGTACTATTTTTGCTTCCTAGCTCATATCTGACTACATTTACAAATTTCCTCTTAAAATTCTATTTTATATCATTTCAGCAATGTGTTGTTCTTCAGATCAGTTGCAAAGATTGCAGCTAGTCTGAAAGCACTGCCATTTTCTCATCTCCACAATCAACCATGTGGAGACGACAGGCTGCTACCACACATTCTAAACAAGAGTTAGGACAGCTCGCTCTGTGGCACCATCACATTCATGAGCTTTTCCTAGTGCTCAGATAAATATTTATTTGGAAGTTGTTAAGGTAAGCAATAATTTCTAAATTAAAAATCAACGTTTCCATGTTCAGTAGCAACATTAACCTGGAGACCTTCCTATTCCTGTGCCTCCTCAGGCCATCTTCCAATGCTAATTATTTTTATCTCTGTGCCTGACACACATTAGATCTGAGTGCTGCTTTCTAATTTCTGCCCCTACTGCACTACCTTCCTTATCCAACTATCTACAATGTTCCACCTCTTCACTCAGCCCTCTAAGTCTTTCTTGTTTGTCTTTGCAGACAAAGGCTGGCATCACCAGTCTAAGCTGGCCCTGAACCCAAGCTTCCTGCTTCCACCTCTCCAACACTGAGTACTGACTTCATGTCTTGATGCTCTGTAAGTGCAATCTGTCTGTGTCACACAGTAAATGATCACACATTAATCTTGGAAGTATATGGATCTAAGACAATACTTTCTTGCCCAAGCAGTGGTGAGATAAATCTGTACCACTTGTATGGTGAGAACGGATGAGCTTCCCATTACCCAAAAATGGACCTCTGTGTTTCTTCCCTTCTAGTTTCAATGTTTCTCAAATTTCCTTTAGAAATTTCTAAGTAGCCATTTTTTTTTCAAGAACCACAAGAACAGAGACTAGACACTGTTTGATTTGATGATACATACTAAACAAAACTCCACGGCTCCACGACTAGTCTAACATATCAACTAACATAGCGTACTGTAAAATACTATAGACAAGTGCTATTAGCGCACACAATCATGGTAATACCTGTAATTATGTAACCAGTATAAGTCTATTAAAAAGCAAATGTGTGTCCTCATTTGGGTCCTTCAGCTTGATGCCTCAGTCCCACCTGGGAGGGAGAAGAAAGCATTCATGGGGGTGGGGGGAGGGAGGAAGGGACCTGGGAGGGAAAGGGGATATTTTTTTGGGGGGAGGGGGACATGATCTGGTATTGGGTGGGGGAAAAGGACCAGCAGAAACAATGGAAACAGGCAACCTCAGGAGGTAGGAGGTGGGGGTGGGGACCCTCCAGATTGTACCAGAGGCCTGGGAGGTGAGAGACTCTCAAGACGCCAGATGGACTGCCATATGGACTGCCCGACATTAGGGAGAGGGAACTCGCAGAGCCCACCTCCAGTAGAAAGACAGGGCATCAAGTGAGGGAGGCGACTGCCATCCTACAGTCAAAACTCTGACCCATAATTGTTCCTGTCTGAAAGAACTGCAGGGATGGAAATGGAGAAGACCCTGAGGAGAAGACCTCCTCAAGGGGATGCCCCAGGGCCTGACACTATTACTGAGGCTATGGAGCACTCACAAAAAGGGACCTATCATGACTGCCCTCTGAAAGACCCAATAAGCAGATGAAAGAGTCAGATGCAAATATTTACACCCAACCAATGGACAGACGCTGCTGACCCCTGTGGTTGAACTGGGAAAAGCTGGAAGAAGCTGAGGAGGAGGGTGACCCTGTAGGAGGACCTGCAGTCTCAATTAACCTGAATCCACCCAGAACTCTCAGACTCTGGATCACCAACCAGGCAGCATACACCAGCTGATATGAGGCCCCTAACATATATACAGCAGAGGACTGCCGGGTCTGTGTTCATCCAGAGAAGATGCATCTAACCCTCAAGAGACTGGAGGCCCCAGGGAGTTTAGAGGTCTGGTGAGGTAGGGGTTGGGGGGAGACATCCTCATAGAGACAGGGGGCAAGGAGGAGGTATGGGATGTGGAACATTCAGAGGGTGGACCGGGAGGGGAATAAAATCTGGAGTGTAAAAAGATAAAATTAAATAAATAAATAAATAAATAAATAAATAAATAAAATCACGTGTGTAGAATAAAAACATCGATGGGGAGCGTATTTTAAAACAGTTTAAATAGGAGAATTTATTTCTTTGAAACAGAAAAAAAGTGTCCTCTCAATATACACGAAATGCTTGATAAGATCTTGCTCCGTTTTAATATTAATTAGCAATTTTCTGGAATAGTAACAATAACAACAACAAACTTACAGAACCAGACAAGGCTCCTGAAGTAAAGCTGATCATAAATGTTGGTTCGTATAAACCAGACTTCTCACAAAGCCACCTCTTTAAATTTTCATAATTATACCAGTACATTGCTGCAAAACAGAGAACAAAACGAGCACAGATGTAGAAAAAATTGTAGACTTCAGAGAATGAGTTATGATGTCACAAATCGAAGTAAAACAGGAACTCTAGTCTTGACACACTGCCCTTCCTTCCTAAAATTAGGTGGGATTAGAAGGAGGGACTGAAATTCTAAGAAATATTGTAACAGTCTTTTAAGAAAACAAAAACTTCTACATTTGCTGAAATATAGCTGAAAACCCTGACAGGGCAAGTAGGAGAAAGGCCAGGGAAAGGGCTATCTACTGACAAGAGCAGTCTAAGGACCAGGAGAAGACAAAGCACACTGACCTGGAGGGCCAGCAGAGGCCACACAGGGTATTGAATATGACTCATGCTACACACTATACTAATAAAGCCATTGGAAGAGCCTACTAATGACGGAAAACACTTGATAAAAGGCACACTCTTGTTGAAAGCAAACTCAAATTCTTGGAAATACAGAGATAAAAAGGTGTTTCTGATAAAAGATATGTAACACAAGCTCATATCAAAAGTAATTATTAATACATAGGAAGAAAGGAAATTAAGATAACTGAAAATTAAAACATTGAAGACATAATATACAATATCTACAAAGAAGCTCAAAAGATGTTTACACTAATCAGAGTTTCTTCATTTTTTAAAAGGTAGCTAGATATCATCTAATAGGCAAAAGTCAATTGCAGCTTTATTACCTACAAAGCTTTACAAAGTATATTTATTGTAAAGCTACAGGTTTAAAAAGAATCAGCAAGGCTAATGAAGTAGCTCAAAGGGACAGCACTGGCCTAGCATGTACAATGACCCAGGTTCAGTCCCCAATACCCAACAAAATAACAAGCAAAGGCTTCCAAAACCTGGAAGGTGAAGTATACCTATAAAATATAAAAAAGAATGCATATAACCTTTATGAAGAAAATTTAAATAGTTATTGAAACACTTTAAAAATATTAACACAGATATATCAATCTTAGAAAAGAATAAGGCACCATCAAATTTTTTTTTTTTATAAAGCACTAGTGATTTGGAAAGTATTATTGGCAAATTACTGTCAGACAAATAGAACAGGAGGACAAAATTAATTCATACATGCAAATCTCTTCAACAATTACAGTTACTCAATGAATGATGCTGATAATGACCTATATATTGGGTCATATCCACAAATCAATTATCTCTAAACAAATGGCCAATGAAACAATGCCAACCTTTGTAAGTAACCACTGAAATGCAGGTCAAGGTGAGATACTTTAAAAGGTCAAATAAACATAATTTAAGAACCTTGACAATGAACAGGTTATGAAGGTATAAGGCAGCAGGAAACATCATAATTGGTGATAAATGTATATATCCATACACTCACTTAAATTTTTTACTACAATTATTCATTGTGTGGGGGTGTGCCAGTCCACATGTGGAGGTCTGAGAACCCCTGACAGCAATTGGTTCTCTCTTTCGACTAGGTGGGTCTTGGAGACTGAACTCAGGTAGTGAGGCTTGACAGCAAGCAGTACTGAATTATCTTGCTGGTCCTATTTTTGATCCTTCTGTTATTTTAAGTAATTTTAGATTTATTTTATGTGCCTGTATGTATGTCTGGCATGCCAAGTGCCAACAGCAGTCAGAAGAGGGTGTCAGATCTGGAACTGGAGTCAGGATGGTTATGAGTCGCCATGTGGATGATGGGAACTAAACAAGGCCTTCTGCAGAAAGAGCACATCCTCTTAATGCTGAGGCATCTCTTCAGGCTTGTTTTTGATACAGGGTCTTACAGTCTAATCTAGCCTGGCCTCAAACTCACGGTCATCCTCCTGTCCCAGTCTCTCGAATGCTGCTATTACAGACATGAGCCATCACACTTGGTTATAATCCCTTTTTAAAAAGGGTCACTTTCAGTTGGGCATAATGACACACACCTTTAATCCAAACACTCAGGGGGCAGAGGCAGGCAGATCTCTATGAATTTGAGGCCAGTTTGGTCTATATATTAAGTTTTAGGTCAGCCAGGGTTACAGAGAGAGACCCTGTCTCCACAAAAAAATAAAATAAAATAAAATAAACGGAAGACTCACTGTTCAATATGGGCAGACTGTCGCATAGGTACAATAAGAAGCTACATAAATGATTTTCATAGCAGTCCTACTTTATCTATACATATACGTGATAGTGGCTTTGTCACTGGAGGTAGGCTCTGAGATCTCATAAGCTCAAGTCTGGCCAGTGTCTCTCCTTGGAACCTTGGGATGAAAATGGAGAACTCTCAGCTCCTTCTCCACATCAAGTCTATCTGCTTGCTACCATGCTTCCTGCCATGATAATAATGGACTGAACGTATAAAACTATGAGCCAGCCCCAATTAAATATTTTCCTTTGTAAGAGTTTCCTTTGTTGTTCTTCACAACAATAAAAACCAGACTAAGACAATATACAAGAGAAAAAAGAAAGAAAACAGTTATCTACAAAACTATGAAATTTTTGAGTAGAAAGAAGATGGTTTTAAAGATCAAAACTGAACAATGTATTTTTAAACATAATAAACTGGAAACTTTTATAGCCAATAAGATGAAAGAATTCAGTACGGGGACAGTGTGATAGCTCAGTGGGTTGGGGCGCTTGCTGCTCTGTCTGACAACCTGAATAAACCCAGAACCCACACAGCTGAAGGAGAGGACCAACTGCTATACCACCGGGGGTAGGGTGTGGGGCAGCAGTGCAAGGGTAACAAACAGCATCATGATCTAACACAGTAAACATTCAAGCTCATAGGAAGCAAGTTCAGAGCTATTCATTTTGTAAACATGTATCTGGGTTTCTTTTCACAAACCAGAGTATATTTGTAAAAGTAAACTGGCAGAGGAGACTATGATTACTAACTTTATGTCTCAATAAAGTAAAAGTCAAGATAATTACCTATTTGATAATTACCTATTCTCTTATCGAATACTTAATGGGAAGTTTTTAGTATTTAGTTTTTCTAAAAAATTAAGTTCAGTTAATTTAAAGATGGTTTTAAGTACATTTATAATATTTTGATTTGTATTTTACTTGCTATATTATGATTTATTTAATTTAGGATAATGTTAAAGTAGTTTATATTATCGGAATATGAATACATTTTAATGAATGCTTAGCAGCAGTTACATACAAGGACCTGAATTAGAAGCTGTTTAATCAATAAAGGCTTGTATAGTTCTGAAATGCAAATACTGAACTACAAATTTGTGGTCAATACAGAAAAAATAATTACTCTTAAAACCTAGCTAAACTATATGACCTAAGACAAAGCTACTTAAAAATTCACAGCTACTAATAAGACAAATCCTACCTGAGAAAGGCACATCTCTAAGAATAGTAGGAGCCCAGCCCTTCCAAAGGGAAATCCACCCGTCTTCAGACACTTTCATGCTCACAAATCGATACAGTTCCTTGTAAGAGAACGTCTTAGACTGCATCTTGGTTCTGATCAATTCTAATGGACTTATCACTGTCACGGCACCAACTAATACAAACAGGAGAACACACAAATTAAAGCATACATGCTGGGAGCAAAAACTAATGCTCATATGTTTTGTTTTATAATCTCCCGCTTCCCACTACCACAAACTGTGCCCTCAAATTTCCTTCCTTTGGAGAAATTGCAGGTGTCAGCACACCAGGAATGCAGTGAGTGAGCCTCACCCTGGAAAAATCACCTTTGCGATCACAGGATCTCTACTGCCAGGTTAAGCCTATGTTCTGTGTATTTTAAAAATTTTAATTAGCTGACAAAGTAAAAGGTCACATGTGACATTTACAGATGTTTGTTTTGGGTGATTTCTGCTCCCTTCCCTGTCTCCATAGTGACCGCATCCTCCCTGAATCTTTCTGACCCCGGATTTTCCCTTCCTGCATCAAGTCCATGTGTCTGTTATCCTCACTTATTCTTAACGCCTATAAAGATTAAATATATACCTAAATGTGTCAAATAAATATATACCTTTTTCTTGGTTTCAACGCTTTCAAGGATAATACTAACAATTCTAGAGTCAACCAGAGAACCATTAAAATCACAGCCAGTATTTGCAAATAAACAACCACTACTACTTCTCCTTCTCTTCTTCTCTTTTTTTGATGACAGATCTCAATATATAGAATTAGGCCTTTAGAGATCACCTCCCACATACTGGGATTAAAATCACGTGCTACCATGCCCAGCATACGCATATTCAACAGAGAATGTCCTACACAGAGGCAATCTTCCTCCCGACTAAGCTCTAAATCCTAGAGTTTATAAAAAACGTTACAAAAGCTTTGGCCTGAGTTATGTATGAATTCAGATATGTTAAAAATTTTAGGTAAGAATCAATTCTGCCATCACTCTCAATAACTAAGATACAATAAAAATGAGATAATTCTATCTCTCAATGACAATCACCTACTTACTACATGACTTGTATAGATATCAACAATTACCACAAACTAGAATGCAAAACACATCAGACCAATATCCCGAACATTACACAGACTCTCTGTAAATATCAGAATTTAGATGTTCTAAGTAGAAATCTAAATAAAAACAAGATCATTACTTACATCTGGCGACAATCCCAGCAACTATTGGTATTCGAGTTTCATTTTCTCCTAATTTGGCTTTCAGAAAACCACTTAATTGTTCATAGCAGGTAAAATAAATAACTGTGGCAGGAATTGCCATCACTCTGTCAGAAGCATACACAAAATATGTTCAGAATTATCAAAAGGTCTCAACTATACTATTAAGTTCTCCTATTATTATAATTACCCCATGAGTGAAATTTGAGTGTGCGCATGTCTGAGTATACATGTGTATTATATGCACCTATGTAGGCTTGTGTGTAAACATGCAGAAAGAAAGAAGGTCAGAGCTGGATGTCCTGCTCAGTTGCTTTCCATCTGATTTCTTTTTGAGATAGGGTCTCTCACTGATGGTTAAACTGCTTGGTCAGCAAGCAGCAAGAGCACGCCTGTCTCTGCCTCCCCTGGTTGGATTACAGGTGTTCCCCATGTGCCTGACATTTTAGAGTGGGTGCTGGGCATCACAAGTGAGGTCCTCAGGCTTCCATGGAGAGCATGCTACCACCATCTTCCCAACACCAACTTCTCTTAAAAGCTCAAGAATAACTGTAAAACAGTTTTAAACCACAGCTCATAAATCACAGCTCTTCATAAGTAGAGGTAAATTACAATTACACTGCCAGGATTATATATATTAGTTGTGAGGGAATTCTGATGACACTTAAAGTGAAAATATTAAAGGGAATTATTATTAAAATATCAATATAAATTTCAGGCACCAGTGCGTCATACAGACTAGTGCAACAAGAAAGCATTTTCTGTTTATGGTGTGTCATCACAATCACAGTGACAGCCCATAGCTCGGAATGTTTATATTCTATAGAGATAGTCCATGCTAAGAATTTAGAAACAGGACTGACCCTGGAGCTGTCACTAAGCTTATCATCTTAGGCACTTAGGTACGTGCCTCAAATATTCCTCAAGGCTGAGTAATCCCCTCCATACAGAAGACAAGAAGAAGCCAAAACATCTGCTGGAGTGTTTACATTCAGTTTTTTGAGTTTACTCTATTCATTCATAAATTTGTACTTAGTAGAGAACTAGAATTGGATGTATAAATATTCAACATACTTTACAGGTTTAGCACAACAAGAAGAAAAGTATCAAATCATTTATTTTCAAATAAACAGACAAAAACTATGTAAACATGCAATAAAAACTATCCATACTGGCAGTGGTGGCATACATCTTTAATCCCAGCACTAAGAAGGCAGAAGCAAGTGGATCTCTGTGAGTTCAAGGCAGCCTGGTCTAACAGAGCTAGTCCCAGGATAGCCAGGGCTACACAAAGAAACTGTGTCTTGAAAAACCAAAACCAACCAATCAAACAAACAAACAAACAAAAAAAACCCACTATACATTCTGAAAGTCAGGTGAGTTTTCCAAGGCAAAAGCACTTCACAACCTGTTGTTACTCGTTGCCAGAATAAGTACATCCTGTGCTATGCCAGTGAAAGAATTTTCAAAAGTCATATGTCATCTGCTGATGTATGTATGCTCTAACTGTAATGAACCATATACATGAATATAATCTTCCCTGGGTTTTATGAGTCCTTCTAGAACATCAAATGTATAGTGTGAAACTCATAAAACAGTACTTCAGGGAATGAAAGATTTGCTCAACCATGCCGATCACAACAATAGAAAACACAGTGAGTTTCAACTTACAGAGTAGGAGGGAGGCCGCTCCACAGGGATTTTATGCCCTCATTTCGAAGAATTTTTAAAAAAGCATCCTAAAATTATAAACATAAACAAAATACATCTTTAAATCTGATAAAGATTTATAATAAGTAGTAATTTGAATATTTTAAACATTAATATCTAAAATATAAGTTTCTTGGATTTATAAATACTCATTCTTAAAAAACAAGAGACAATTTCAAATACATAAGATGGAATGTTTCCAGATAGTATTCTTAGAGACTGAAGTCTCCACTACTTGCTTTGTTTTTTGTTTGCTTGTTTAACTTGTTTTATTTTATTTCTAACAAGCTTTTCAGGGGCTGAAGATATGGTTCAGCAGTTAAGCTTGTTCTTCCAGAGGACCTGAGTTCAGATGCTGCGCCCGTTATAGGTAGCTCACAAACAGAGGACTTGACGCCCTCCTCCCACCTCTGGGTACTTGCACACATGTGGGCAGAGACTCACACAGACACATAGATATAAGTTAATTTTTTTAAAAATAAAAAATTTTCATAAGATTACTATTAAAAAGTACAGAATTGATCATAGAAACTCTTCTAAGTATGAAATCTGAGAAAGTGTTATTAAAGACGACATTCTGAAGTCTTTGAAGAGGAATCAAAAGCACTCAGAATCTAAAGCAAAGTCTATTAATAGATAAACTCTTACAACTTAATAATAAAAACAAAAACTGTCAAAAGATAGAATAGAAATTTCACCTTGAAAAAATATTTTCGCTGGGCGGTGGTGGCGCACGCCTCTAATCCCAGCACTTGGGAGGCAGAGGCAGGTGGATTTCTGAGTTTGAGGCCAGCCTGGTCTACAGAGTGAGTTCCAGGACAGCCAGGGCTACACAGAGAAACCCTGTCTCGAAAAAAAACAAAACAAAAAAAATATTTTCAACATCATTAATTGTGGAAATAAAACTCAGAACCACATGGAACACAGCAGACAGATTAAAATAAAAAGACATATTAGGTACAGTGTTGCACGCCTGTAACCCCAGCTACCTGTGAGGCTCAGTCAGGAGATGGAAAATCCAAGGCCAGCCAAGGCAACACACTGAAACCTCCTGCTTAGAAAGAAGGGAAGGAAAAGGGGAGGGAGAGAAGAGAGGAGAGAGGAGAAGATGGGTCCTAGTGAGGACTGAAGAAATTGGAAGCCTCATATATTGCTTATAGGAAAATAAAGTGATATAGCCACTTTGGAAAACAGTTTGGTAGTTTCTCAAAAAGCTAAACAAATTAGTACCATACGACCCAAAAATTCAATTCAGAATATATATGGAGGAGATATTAAAAAACACGTTACACAAAATTAAAATGCTGATAATTGCATTATTCACCTCCCAAAGTGAAAATAACGTAAATGTCCATCAACTAATAAACAGAGAAATAAAACAAAGTATATTCATAAAATGGTATGCTATATAGGACTAAAAAAATGTGAATACAAATCACAACACTGGTGCACTTAAAATACTGTGTTAAGAAAAGGAGCTACTCACAAACTCACAAGCAGAAAGAGGAAGCTTGGTGGGAGAGATAACGTTTAAGACATGTGTTCTGACAGGCAAGTCAGTCGTCATGGCTGCCCTGTCTGGCCTCAGTGGGAAAGAATCACTTAATCTGGCAGTTGATGTGCAAGGGTTGGGGGATAGCCAGGGTGGAGTCCCACCCTCTCAGAGGAGAAGGGGAAGAGGGATGGGAGGAAGGAACATGGTGAGGGAGGTTCTGGGATATAAACAAATACATAAATAAAAATTATTGTCCTACTCCAGTCAGCTATAACTCAGACCCTTATAAGCAAAACCAAGGAAGTTGTCTAGACCGCCCCTGGAAGGGTGCGTTAGTGAACTAGAACACCTTCAGTGGGTCGGTGCTACAGAGGATCAACAAGAGGTTTCCTGCCTGCTACATTTAGGTGGTATCAGAAGAGAAATAGTAGAGGGAAGACGTTTGCCATCATCTGACAGTAGTGAGGTCACTCCATCTCAGAGTCAGTCAGTGGAAAGTGTCAAAACTCACTTAAACTTGCTGCCAATGGTCATGAGTGGAGAACCTGGATTTGCAGCTATGCTGTACTAACCATGTGATACTACCTCTTCCTTTGGGGAACAGTGTTGTTGTTGTTTTAAAGATTTAAATAAAATGTTTAATCAGAATTGGGGTTTAATAACAACATTCAAAATGCCCAGAGTTTAGCGAATTCACCATTCTAGGAACTAGGAAGGTGTTCTACTAAATGAAGAGAGACAATAATAAACACTGAAATTGAGCCTAGATGTCTAAGTTCTCTGACAAAGATTTCAAATCACCCAACATTAAAAACAAAACAAAAACATGGAATGCTCATTTGTTAATATACTTAAAGTAAAAAAAAAAAAAAAAAAACCAATCAGACTGCTTTAGTTAAGAAATATATACACAAAAAGCATGAGTAATAAAAATGGAATGATTAAACATATAACACAAAGGAAGGCAAGAAAAACAACCGAAATAGAAAGAACGCAAAACAAGACAAGAACAAGAGGAACAGAAAAAGGCAAGTATAAGCCTTTACATCTACAACTACGTTAATATAATTTGTCTATTAATTGAATGAAAAAACTGACAATTTAAAACATTTAATAAATGTTTCAATTATAATGTTACAATTTGATTTAAAATGCATCAGAATCTGGGGATGGTAGCACACAACTTCAATCTCCGAATTTGGACGGCAGAGAAAGGCAGAACTCTATGGATTCCAGGCCAGCTTCTTTTACATATCAAGTTCCAGGCCAGGGCTACATGCACTGACAATATTCCAAAGGACAAAACAAAACAAAATGCACTACAAGACCCAACATAGTAAAGATGTCATTTCACTCTAAGCTGGGAAGAAAGTATAGTTCTTCTAAAAAAAAAAAATCTTAGAAATGTTAAAGAATAACTCTCATAGACTCCTCCCACCAAAGAAACACAACGAATGTCTGTAGCAGGTTTTATACACAGTAACTGAAAACTGCAAATAGCCCTGCATGGAAATGTGGCACATCCATATCAAGCCACTAAGCCCTAAGAAGGAAGCAAATACTGGACTCCTGCAACACTAGGAAGAATCTCTGCACTATTACTATTACCCAAAGTGAAAAATGTCAACCTCTAAATGTAGCTTATGCCATGATTCCATTTATGTAGCATTTTTCACATGACAAAATTTTCTAAATTAAGAACTGATTACAAGTTGCCAGAGGTTACAGGGCAGATAGTCCACAGAGAAATTGGGTATTTTTCTTTAAAGGAATCAAGATAATCCTTACAGTGCTCTCTTTAGAAGTGCATTAATGTTACTACTAAGGATACAGGAACAAAACATACAGACAGAATTCTGTTTGTATATTTTTTTAAAAAAATGGGAGACCTACATTTCTAAAGAAATTTAAACATAATTTTAAAAAGCTACTTTTCCTGTATATAAAAAGGATACACAAATGAAAGTTAACAAATTATAAAGGGAAAAAATACTTTTCTTTACCATGATGGACTTTTAATTCCCTAATAATTAGAAAATCATGTATAAGAAAATATACGACTGCCAGGAGATAGCTAGACTCCCAGGAGTACTGGCACACCTAAGCTTACAGGTGAGACCACCACTACTGTCCCAAGTGGGACCCACCTGGGGCCCACAGGACACAGGAGCTGTGGAGCAGCCAGGGACGCAATCCTAACAGTTTCCATCTGTGCCCCGGAGCTGACCCCATGCCACAGCTCCTAGCACCCCAATCACACCCGTAGAGAGCTTATATCCCAGGAGTGCTGACACACCTAAGATCACAGGCTCACAGGAGGGACCGGCTCTAGTCAGAGTCAGATCAGCTAACACCAGAGATAACCAGATGGCAAGAGGCAAGCGCAAGAACATAAGCAACAGAAACCAAGGCTACTTGACATCATCAGAACCCAGTTCTCCCACCACAGCAAGCCCTGGATACCTGAACACACCGGAAAAGCAAGACTGATTTAAACTCACATCTCATGATGATGATAGAGGACTTTAAGAAGGACATAAATAACTCCCTTAGAGAAATGCAGGAAAACACAGGTAAACAGGTAGAAGCCCTTAAAGAGGAAACACATAAATTCCTTAAAGAAATACAGGAAAACACAACCAAACAGGTGAAAAAATTGAACAAAACTATCCAGGATCTGAAAAATGGAAATAGAAACATTAACCAAATCACAAAAGGAGACAACCCTGGAGATAGAAAACCTAGGAAAGAGATCAGGGGTCACAGATGGAAGCATCACCAACAGAATACAAGAGATAGAAGAGAGACTCTCTGGTGTAGAAGATACCATGGAAAACATTGACACAATAGTCAAAGAAAATGCAAAATGCAAAAAACTCCTGACACAAAACAACCAGGAAATCCAGGACACAATAAAAAGATCAAACCTAAGGATAATAGGTATAGAAAAGAGTGAAAATTTCCAACTCAAAGGGCCAGCAAATGTCTTCAACAAAATTATAGAAGAAAACTTTCCTAACCGAAAGAGATCCCCATAAACATTCAAGAACACAAATGCCGGGCCCAGACTACTATACCCAGCAAAACTCTCAATTACCACAGATAGAGAAACCAAGATATTCCATGACAAGACCAAATTTACACAATATCTTTCCACAAATCCAGCCCTACAAAGGATAACAGATGGAAAACACAAGAGAAACTATACCTTACAAACAGGAAGAAAGTAATTTTCTTTCAACAAACCCAAAAGAAGGGAGCCACACAAACATAATTCCACCTCTAACAATAAAAATCACAGGAAGCAACAATCACTGGTCCTTAATATCACTTAACATCAATGGACTCAATTCCCCAATAAAAAAGACATGGACTAATAGACTGGATATGTGAACAAGACCCAGCATTTTGCTGCATACAGGAAACACAATTTAGTGACATAAACAGATACTACCTCAGAATAAAGAGCTAGAAAACAGTTTTCCAAGCAAATGGACTCAAGAAACAAGCTGGAGTAGCCATTCTAATATCGAA